ATGTAGACATTATCCTTCTCAAAATATATTTTGAGTAACTAGCTCACGCTGCGACTGTAACAGATCAAAAAGATCTGACTGAAACGCACAAATAACCAAACACTGACAAGTCATTTCCAAACTTAGTTTCCAGACATCCTACTTCATTGTTTTGCACCCGTATGAGGGTTGACAGTTTAAAAAATAAAGCTGGCTATTAAATAATCTAATTAACTTGTTCTGTGTTCAGTGTACAAAGTGATAACACACGCATCAATTAACAATTTTGGTTTCTTTAAGATTAAACTAAGCTTTAGAAGTTATGAGATAAATAATTTTACATGAATTCTTTTCACATTTTTCCAACCTTTAAGCTATAACTCTGCTACTTTTAGATAGCCTTTTGCTAGTTTTAGTTTTCACATGCTGTTCAGCTACTCAAAAGATTTAGCTAGCCTTTCTTTTGGCTGTTTTTAAGCTATCTTTAGCTTGTTTTTCACTGATCTATCTATCTATCTAGCCTTATGATATCTTGGCTAAATTCTGCAAGTGCTTTATTAATTAAAATTAAAAAAAATCATAAAGCTGTTAATCTATGGGTCCTTTGTTTGATTAATAAGTACAATACCCACAGTAATGGTAGCAAAATACAAATTTACTGCAACAAATTTAGAAAACTGCACATCAACTCTGCAAAATAGTGATCATAAATTAGTGTATCAATGTGATTTAAGGGGTTAATAATAATTTACAGGATTTCAACATATTCATTAACCTCATTGTCAAGCAGAAACGCATGTGGTCCATACCAGAGTAACCACTTCTAAAACAGGTATCTGCCGTCTTAAAATAATTTCAAAAAATTGAAAGCAGTTCCTGTGAACACAATCTTGCAAACATTATACATTTTGCAATAACTGGGAAGTTGGTAATTGACTAACACTGCATCGMAAGTGCTACAGCTGCTGCTAAAGTACTTGCAAATAAGCACAMCATTCAATGTAAATATCTGTTTAACACAATATTAGTGGTTTGAAAAAAAGCATTTGCATGAACAGCTAGCAAATTTTGGAGATTGAAGTTGTTTTAGGACAGCAGCCAGTAACACACCTTAGTTTTGCCATTATCTTGTTGAATTAAACCTGGTTTCTCCAAACTGAAGCTGTTCAAACAGTTATCTACAGCAGGTAAGATATTAAGTATTCATAAAAAAAAGAACTAATTAAAAATGTTCCATAGAATACCAAATACTTTCCAAATTAGGTGCTTTTTCAAAATTGTTTTTCAAATAAAGCAAATTTAAACATTGCACTATGATTTTAGGCTCAAATAATAATAATAATAAACTCTTCAGGTACAACCAGGTAATCCTGTGGTTCCCAAAGCTGTGTGAGGAGACCAACAAAAACATAATTATTAAAACTGGTGCCAGTAGTATATTTAAAATATGGTAATAATATATTTAAATTAATAATATTAATATAAATAATATAAATAAGTATAATAGAAATGATAGTATGCTTTACCCATCAGTAGTTGAGGTCATGAAAGTGATAAGTTTGAGTATATTTTAGTCTTGGTAAAAAATCTGTCAGATTAAGGATTTTTTTAAGTGATTAGCGGGGGGGGGGGTCATATCTGCCTTTTCAGCTGACTCATTATCTGACATGAGGTGAAAATAAACACAGAAGTGCTGATGCAGTCAATCAAGACAGCTGTTCCAGGACTCTGTGCCTGAACGCAGCATGTTCTTGCATAATAATGACTTGTTTGGTTACTTTTGACTTGTGTTAGAGCAGCGAAGATTATTAAAGTGAAAATAAACTATACTGCTTTGAAAAGTAACGTTCTGCATGAAAACATAAACAAAAATAGCGCATATTAAATGTAAATAAATAAGGCCTGAAACACCAACATTTAACAGCTGAATGTAAAAACTGTTTTCTTTTCGCCTTGCTCGCTTGGGGCGAGAAAGTTAAATAAAGAAAAGAACGCCGAGTCCGCGCTAAATATATAATCATTTTCTAAAGAATAGTTTCATTTAAAGCCCATTTAAAGACCACAAATCGCTTTTACCTGACGACTAGCAGCGGTGTCCTCCTCAAATAAAACTTTGTTCAAAGCAATCTGCAGAAYAAAAAAAAAGCTTGAGATCCAAACGCGACTCCCCCCGTTAGTGATGATGTACGCACGCTTCAACACTTGAAGCTGAAGTCTCGCGAGACTTGTCTGCCCAAAATCACGTGATTCTGTTTGGCATTATTCAGTAGTGGGATCTTTTGGACAGCAAAGTTTATATTATGAGAAAAAGTTATAGGAAAAATAATGTCTGAGATTTAAGTAAGAATTCTGTTTTTCTTTATGCGGACAGGAAGAATTAATATAATAAATGTTAGTATGCTTTATTTTGAAGGTTTAAAGCTGAAAATATATTTTTTAGCCTTACTAAATCTCTTAGAAAAATTGTAGAACCAAATACACATAAAAATAAAACTGCTTTTAAGCAATTGGGAGCTCCACTGATGCCAGCAAGGTTCTTCTCTAAAGCTACAGACAAGGTTTTGTATTTACTGTGTTCACTATCTTGTGAAGACAAAGCTTTATTATGACAGTCAGGTCTTTAACTCACATGCAGTTCTGACAAAAAGCCAGCAGATGTCACTCTTCTGACTGAGTGAAGTGTGTCCTTCATGGTTATTTTACYTCGTTTGAAAGAGTTCACTGTTTCAAGAGATTTCAGTTTCATCACCCTCAAGTCTAATTTTCTCACAATGAAAGTTGTTCAAAGTACTGGTTCCTGGGTTCAATCCCTGGGTTGGATTGGTGGTCTTTCTGTTATGCTCTCCTCGTGGCTGTGTGGGTTTTCTGCAAGTAAGCTACTCTGATTTCCTCCCACAGTCTAAAAATGCCTTCAGGACCAGCCTCCCTTAAAATAGAGATCTGTGGTTTCAAATGGATTTGCTTAAGTCATTTTTTTTAATTGTTTGCATGAGTTTAACGTTTTGTGCACGATTTTCAGTTTTGCTTTTCACAGTTTTAACTCAAATAATGGGAGCAAATTGTCTTTTTTTACAAGCAGCTCGTAACAAAATGTCTAAAGAGTAACGATTTTGCAGCCATACAAACYAAGCCCACAACAGTGATGGTGCAGCATTCAATAATATTCACTTTTACACTGTTAGTTTATTAGCAGAAAATGAAATAATGAGCAAATTATTGCTCATATTTTATTTGAGTTTGCATGATCTGTGCAGGCGCTCCGCTTGTTCCTAATACTGACTTTCAGACACAAACTCTGGGTGGATGATGTAGTGTCCAGCTTGGTAGGGTCTCACCACGTGGAAGCAGCTGTAGCAATCACTGTTAACAAACCACAGGTACAGAATCTGAGTATTAAGGGTACAAAAAGATAAAATGATTGCATGAGAGTTAGAGCACCTATAACTTGGATTACTGTTGGAGCAACATCTCCTAAACTGTGTCTGTGGAAAGCAGGAGGGAGCAGGAGGGGTGCTTGTTTGGGGTCTTGCTTGTAGCCTGTCAAGACATACAAACAAACAAAAAACTCTCTTCTTTTATTTTGAAATTTTGATGGCTGTTAACAGAAATACACGTCACTTTAATATCACTTTATTTCAAGGGTTTTAAAGGCCTCCGAAACACTTACTTGAGTTGGCGAGCTGAGAGTGGATAAGTATTCCTCTGATAATCCATTGCCCTGTACAGAAAATGCACCAAACTCAGTCTGTGTTCACAGTTTTCTTTGAGCTAAAGTTGGAACTTTTTCATAATTACTTTCGGGGCTTTTTCAAAGAGGTCAGAAGCTGGACGTCAGAGGCAGCAGGAGGCTCCGTCAGATGGAGTTTCTGCCCTCTGTCAGATGTGTTAATAGGAGGCATGTGCTGGGGTTTGTCCGAGTTTTCAGGACAAGTCGGGACAGGACTGTGAAATGACAAATGTCTCACGGGGGGGAAAAGAGGGCGGCCAGAGCCCGCAGGGGTCGAGGAGCGTGGCAGCGCACGCGTCGCCTTGTGGCTGGACAAAAGATTGTGAGGAAACAGGAAGTCCTTGGGAGGCAAAGAGAGACACAAAGGCAGAATCACAAAGAGAAACAAGAGACGAGTGATGAGCTTCGGTTTAAATGTAACCTTTTCATGGCAGATATAAAAATATTAAATTTATATTGTTGTTTTGGTCCTTTTTTTTTCATTTTATACATTTTCTGGTGTTGATCTTGCATCTTAAAATGACAAAATTATAAAATCAGAAGTTTATAACAAACTTGTTCTTTTTCTCGTGTTTTATAATTCTGCATAATATTCAGCAAAATACATTGAAAACTTTGAAAAGAATGACACTGAAAAAAGAGCAAGTTGGAAAAATACTAATATAGTCTGAATGTCAAATTAAGCGAAATAATCAGCCAGTGCAGTAAAACAATTCTTGGAAAGACTTCTTGAAATAAGGAAATGTTTCCAGGCTAAAACAATTAATCATCTAAGAATTGTAAGACTTGGTTAGATGAAGACAGCATTGATTGAACTGGAAATGTTTTAACACAAATTAAAATGAATAACAAACCATTCAACTCGTCTTTGTGCGATCAGGAGTAAATAATCAGCTCGGTTGCATGCATGCGGCACAAAGAGCTGAGCGTCTCACCGAGCGAGGCTGAGGGTTGTTCCTGCGGTGGGCTGAAGTCGGACGAAGTTCTGTTCGTCTCACTTTCCCCGGAGAGCTGAACTGCTGTTTGTACATTGTGATGTAGAGCGGCGGAGTCATCCTCCCACACTGCTGTGCTGCTGTTTCCACTGCTGGACTCCTGTCTGCCTGAAAGCCATGCAGCATCCTTCTCCTCACCTATTAGCTCCGCCCCTTACTTACACCTATGTAACTCCTCTCCTGATTTTTGCTAAACATTAAAAAAATAAGGTTTTTTTTTTGTTGTTGTCACAGAGTTTTGCATGTCGTATATAATATCGCTACAGTGCAAATTCTGCAGTTACGTCTCATTTCTTATCTTTTCTTTTGCCTCAGCAGAGAGAAATCCTGCATGAATGAAACCGGCTCCGGACGGATCAAACTCTTTGTTTAATCTGTTYCTATTGTGAAGAGTCTAGTCTGTTGGGACAGGTTCAGAGCATCCTTGCTGAAGCAGAACAACTCTGTGTGCCACCTGAGCACTGGCTAATCTCTCTAAGCTGAAGCCCCCTGCAGAGACTCACATACCTGGGGTCAATGCCCTTGACCTGCATCTCGAGCACCGGGGGGGGGCCTTACCAACAGGACCACCGGATGTCAAACACTCAGGCTCAGCTCTTTCAGCTTRCTGGAGGTTTGAGTCTCCTCAGATCTGCAAAACTGGAGGAAAAAACTGAGTTTTTTTTTTCTTTACCACTGTCACCACCATTCACTGCTGGCATGCCTCAAAGCATTATTAATTCATCCAGCACTGCAGGGTGCCATTGTGTCTCTGGCACTCTTGCTGAGTTATCTGTGACAGGAACTGGCTGTACATCCACTGCAGTGGTTATTAGACATCGCTTAAAAGTCACATGAAGCCCAGTCAGAGCCACGTCAGCGGGTGCAGAGCAGCAATAACGTCCCGAACACATCTTGAAATCAGGTCCAAGGAGTGTTTGAATCATCAGAACTCTTTTTTGTTTTTAAGTTTATTTTACATTACAGAGAAGTTTTTCTGAGAAAGAAAAAAAAAGCATGACTAAAAACCTTAAAATGCACAATTCAAATGGTTTGCACACAAGGAGATTTATGTGTGTTGGCAGTACAGTCGGTGAAGGAAAGGGCCAAAATGTGCCCAGCAGACCTCAAAGCTGCCATAGCTTCAGTATTTGTACGCTTAAAGCGTTTACTTCTGCTTGGACTTCACTGCTGCTTTCAGTTGTGCGTACAGACACCCAAAATTCTGTAAGAGACAAAAAAAATAAAAATAATAAGAGTCCTCGTGTGATAAGTCTGCAATCTTTGTAAATGAAAGTACTGTGAAGCAGTGAGAAACATGTTATCAGAGGTGGTAAATGTATTCAGGCACTTAAAATCTATTTTAAATTACTATTGCAGTAATACCTGGTGAAAAAAATAATTCCCCCTGTGAGTGGTGAAACTGAAAGTATTTTAGGCAGGGACAAGTGCAGACATTCATCCCTATGCATGGGAAAGAAAGTGCTGCGATAAAGAAATGGAAGGGCAACATCATGTCTGCAGAAAACAGCTCTCATCYTGCCGAGAACAGCATCACTGCAGGGAAGCATGGTGGTGGCTGCATCATGCTGTGGGGGTGGTTTTCATCTGGAGGGACTTGGAAACTGGAAAGAGCTGAAGGAAAAGTGGATGGAGAAAAGTGTAGAGGAATTCTTGAGAGGAATTAGTTTGAGACCCAGACCTTCTGGAGACTCTATGGTTTGATTTAAAGCAGGGGGGCCCAAATTGTTTTCCTCAAGAGGGCCAAAATGAAAACCTATCCATAGGCTGTGGGCCAAATGCAACAGTTTAATACATGAAATGCAAATACTTTTTAGGTACAGACCTTTTATTTTTATGATAAAGTTAGCAGCCAGTGCAATGGAGCACATTTTTGGTTTGGATTTTTTTTTTTTGCCTATTTATATTGATAAAGCTTGACGTACACTTAGTCAGCAAAGGCTCATGGGATATTTCATAAACTGATCAAACATTTGTGGTCTTACAAAGCGTGTGCTTAAATCTCATCTAAATGTCTTAGTTATCTGTGTTTCATGTTCAGTCTCAATATAATTAAAAGTTAAAGTAAACACCATGAGCACTACAGCCCCTTATATATCTATCTATCTATCTATCTATCTATCTATCTATCT